CTGTCTTTGAAATGTATAAAATGAAATTAATGGGGTAGATAGGATGAAATAATGGCTGCATATTGTCTAGGAACATTGACTTTTCTTCCCTTCCATAAGGACTGTTTTCTCCAAATCGCCCATAATTTTCTATCCTGTCATATAGAACAGTTCTTAAAATGCTTTTTACTGGATACAGACTTCCCATATTTTGTGGACAGAGATCTTGAGCTGATGGTTCCCAAGAGCCCCCCAATGCTAATAGCAGAGACAATGGATGACCACAGTAACGTGAGGCTCTGCTTGTCAATGAAAGAATGGTATCGTTCCTGCCAGGTCTCATTGATGAATTTCTTGATGTGCTGAAGAGAAAAAAAATGGTGGGGAGAGAGATTTTCACTACCAGTTACCATGGTAGTGAAATACCATGGGTATTTTCATTATATTTGAAAATTCCTAGTAAATATTATAGCATACTTTGAACCAATTGCACTCATACTCTCAACAGTCTTCCTTAGGGAAATTGGTAAGGGCTATATAGTTACATATTAAGAATAGCCAAATCACGTGTCTGCATATTTGAGTAAAAGCTTTTTGCAGCTAATCTCCTGTTCTTTTAAAACTGCCTGTTGTCCTGTATTGATTTTGCTTAAATACCCTCCCACAGGGCTGTACAAGCTGCTCAGGACATAATAAGGACAGAAAGAATTAGGAACAGAATTTCAAGTTGCCTTCAAGACTGGCCCAAAGCAGGACTTGTCAGGGAACACCCTGGATTTGGGCAGTCAGGCTTGACTAGGGAGTTAAAGCCAGGGGATCAAGAGCAGACAAGGTTAGGAACCAGGAGTGGGGGTCCAGACTGGTGGAGCAACAAACCCAGGGAGTCAGGAGCTGGCAGGTCAGGAAATGAAGACTGAGGTTAGAATACGGTGCCAGGCAGAGAGGCATCTGTCCTCCTGAGTAGCTTGCTGCACACTGGGGCTAACTAGCTTGAATGCTGGCCTGACTCCCAAATACAGTTTTAATGTGAGCTGTGTCATCGAGGATGCTGTCTTACCTCAGAAGCATAGGTAATCATGGAAATCTGGAAGCCAAATGAGAAGCTTCCACCAATTCCCAATACACAAATCATTTGAAACAGTTTCTGATACAGAACCTAGAATATAGAAAACAGATTTGTGATATAGCCTGGGTATTCTTTATGGCCTTGCTATCTTCTCTTTGAGTGTTTGGAATTGCTAAAAATAAATATTGAGTTTCTTATTGTTGGAGGATTTAAATAAGGAGAATGCATTCCTTGAAATGCTAAAATGAATGCCTTAAAGTTTCTTTAAATTAGAGGGATATTTCCCACTTTACCTCTAAGTTTTTTCCTTATGTATATGTCTCACAGGAGCAGATATTCAGGGCTTGAAAGTATTTACTTTTGTTTCTTGGTATTACTTTTGTAAATACATTGACCTGAATAATGAAATAGCATTTTATGCTGTCTACATATCTCTGAAAATATGATAATACAATTTAGAAATTAAGTTGCTAAAGGCAACAAATATAAGTTACCATATTTGCTTTTTTAAGTGTTTGGGGACAAACCCAGAAGTTATTGATAACTGAATTATTGAGTTTTATGGGGGTATGCAAATGAGCAGATCGTCATCTGTATTCTCCCTCTTCCCTGCCACTATGCTTGATTGTTTAATATTGACCAGATGTGCAAGGCAAGTACATAAATAATAGAGAACTCACCATATCTGAGAGACAAATGTTTGTTTTTGATTTAATTTTTTTCTTGGTTCTTTCTGCTTGCTTTGTGGTAGAACTCTTTTGGATTAGTAATTTGGTTTCACTTGTTTTTTTCTGAAGGATGTAATCCAGTAACTGAAATAAGCAAGCCTGTAGGCTGGGACCAGTAAAAGTTAAATTTGACTTTGTACTGTTTGCTTTGCAAAAGTTTTTATCCAGTTTGGTGGGTAAGGTTTAGAACAGTTAACATTTTCCCATATGTTTGCTTTGCCACTGGGACATATCTTCTCATGTAATGCATCTTTCCACCAATAAAAATGTTTAGGAAGTGTGTTTATAAGATAGAAAATACAAAATCAGTTTTATGGCTTTTGGATGAAAGAAGAGTCTCCTGACTGTTTAAAATGAAAGGGCCTAGCAAATGTTTATGGAAGTATTTTGGAAATGTTGCATTCACCTTGGAATCCTAGCTTTTATGGGGAAAGATATTCGTAATTAAGATCTGCATACAATATAAAGAAATGATATTTGCTTATGACTATTAGAAAAAAAAAATCTATCTAAATGAAAGTTAAAAATGGATCCTGGGAACATACAAAATAAATATTTAAACTGTTGCTTTATTATTTATGTTATATTACAGAGTTATACACTCCAGCTGTGTGAAACGGCACTATTCTGTTTCGACTTGTGTTTCGACGGAACAGCGCTCCGTTTTGAATTTTGTTTCGATTTGAAATAACTGTTCCGTTCTGTCGAAACAGCTTCACTGTTTTGACCCTGTTTCAATGTTTTGCTGATAGGATATAATGGAGAAGGCCAAAAGAGCCTATAACTTTGTCATTTCTGTCCTGATTTGGATGAAATATGCAAGAATGGTATCCCCTTCTGTGGGCACAAAGCCTGCTAAGTTTCAAGGAGATAACTTCAGGGGTTCAGGGAAACTTCACCCCAAAGTCTTGAAAGCAAAACTTGTGTCACGTGTGTATGTTAAGCGACAGTGTGGTCAAAACTGCAGGGATGCTAGCCCCTGCTAAGGCCACAAAGCCTGCCAAGTTTCAAGAAGATCTGTGCAGGGGTTTGGGGAAAACTGTACCTCAGCTGCAGACAAGCAAAACTCGTGACATGGGTGACACTGTGTGTTTGTTAAGGCACAGCGGGGTGAAAGCTGGAGGCATGCTAGCCCCTGCTGAGGCCACAAAGTCTGCCAGCCATCAAGGAGATCGGTGCAGGGGTTCTGAGGCCCTGCACCCCTAGTTGCTGACAGGCAAAACTCATGTCATGGGTGCTTGTGCAACTGTGTCTATCTTGGGGCACAGGGTGGGGGGGAGAACGGGAACTACTGCAGGCCTGGCTTCTAGGCTCTGCTGCAGCCACAAAGCCTGCCAGCTGTTAAGGAGATAGGGGCAGGGGGGTTCTGGGGCTTGCACCCCTAGCTGCTGACAGGCAAAACTCATGACATGGGTGCTTGTGCAACTGCTGCCTCTCATCAGGCAGCAGGACTGAAGATCCTTCAGCACTTGCCACCACAGACTTGGGGGTAATAATTGACCACAGTATGAACTTGAGCCGGCAGTGCAATGCTGTAGCCAGCAGGGCCACCAATATGCTGGCATGCATCAATTGATGCAGCAAAACCAGAATTGGAGCTCTTTCTCATTTCCTGGTCTCTAATGTTACCTTTTGATGTTTCTCTCAGAGCTTGGCTGGCTCTGTCCTACCACCTTTTCTTTTTTTTCTGTGACTCCTTTACAATATGCAAAGAATTATTTTCCACTCTCACACACACAAAATAGGCAGTAAAAATGGAGGAGAAAGGCTGAAATGTTTTCCTTCACCAACCCAAAGGGAAAAGGTATGAGCATCCTTTGCTTCCCATTAACAAAGGATCTTCTAAGAGAATGAAAGCTCAAACTGTTCATGAGCAAAGCTTTAGTTCTGTGGAGCATCTTGGCAGCTTCAGATCAGAGTAATTGAGTTACTTACAGTTCTTTGAGCCAGGATCAGCTAAAATACTAACTACAGCTCTTTGTTCATTCTAAGCTACACTGGTGCTGTGTGAGTGCTACCACAAAGAAAAAACAATCTTGGGGAAGTATACTAGTAGCAGAAGTGGTTATGTGGGTTAAGAAATGTGGGTTTTGTTTTTTTGGGTGGTTTTTTTTTTTTTAGAGTTATGTGCATTCTCCCCAAGCTGTGCATTCATGAATACTGTCTTTCTAGAATTACAATCCAGTGTAAATTTAAAAATGTCTATTTCATAGTGCGCAATTTTCAAATGGATGTAATTCTGGTAAATCAGAAATATTTTTTCCCAGACCACTAAAGCACATATTGTTTCCTAAAGATATTGTCCATGTTAAGCTTCATTTTTTTTAAACTTCTGCTGTTTTTGATGTAGTCCTCTTCAAAAAAATTCTAACCAGACTTTTTTTCAGTGAGTTTTTTCACCTTTGACACATTTAAAAGTAGCTAATACCTTTTTAATGATTTTGTAGATAATTATTTACATACTATGGATGGAAAATTGAGATTCAGATGACTGTAATGGGGAACTCCTTTCCCTGTTAATAGGAAGGCCTGAAAGGGTAGGAAACCAGGGCCAGGAAGGGCAGTAAGGAGTAGGAGCCCATGTAGACTGAGCTAGGGATTAAGGCCAGGGGGCTAATGAAGCAATTAGCTGCACCTGGGTTCCTGGGGGTAGGGTGCAGAGCCTTAGGGTTGTTAGGGCCCTGAGTAAGAGGGTCATTTGGGGCCTCTTAGAGGCTTAATTTTGATGAGCCACTTTCTTGCAAAAACGTCACCCCCCAAAATGTAGGCTTCTTAAAGTGTGGGGACCCAGACAGTCACCTCGTTTGCCCTCCCCTAAGGCCACTACTGAGTCCCCTAACTGGGAAGAGGCTGGGCTGGGAGATATAAGCCCAGTCTCTGAGCATGCTAGGGCAGCAGTCCCTGCAGGGGGAAGAGGAGCTTCTAGGAGAGCAGGGCTGCTAGAGATGAACAGGCAGGCATCTAAACTACCCTGGGGGAGCTGGAGGTAAGATAGCTCCAGTGGAAGTAGAGCTTGTGGGTAACATTAAACCTGAGGGAGGGAGACTGTTTATGAAGCAGCTGGCTTGTGTTTTATATTCCATTTTTTTTAACTTGAGAGCGAAGGACCAGATTGTGGCTACAGGGGCAGAGGAGGCCAGGAGCAGGACTGCCTGGGTACGTTCCTCTGTTATAGGTGCCAGAAATTAGCCCTAAGCCAGAGGGGCAGAGACTAGTGTAGTAAGGTTGGACCCCCATGAGGGCCTGCCATATTAAGGCAGGGCTGATACCGGGGAGCTCAGGTACTAATTAGTGGAGCAAGGTGGATGGGGCAGCCAGAGAAAAAGGGGCAAGGCTGTGACAAGTGAAGCCTGGATGAGCCCACAGACATCTATCGGAGCACTCCCATAAAGGGGGAGTGCCAAGGGAGAGCAAAGGCCCCAGGTGGTGCTGGCCTGGCCAGACAAATAAGGCTACTCCAAGCCCCAGGGACCCTTCTCCCAACAACAACCAAAAAACATCAAAGTCATGGTAGGCGAGAGCCAGGAGGTGAGGTGGGACTTGGAAAGAGCTGGCAAGCAGGGTGAACCCATTTCCTCACGTGTTCTACAGTGACCCTCTGCCAAATTTCACTAAGCTGACTGCTGCGCACAGACTGGCTCCTTGGCGCCTCCTCAAAACTCTTCCTTCCTACAATGTGGTATTTGTCCCTTCAAAACCTATGCTTCACAAATACCGTATTATAGGAAGGAAAAGTTTTGAAGCGGCACCAAGGAGCCAGTCTGTGCACATGTGGAAAGAATGAGACTTGTCGTTTCAGCATCGCTATAGTTATCTTAATAAAAAGCTAATTTAGTTTTAGAAGTGTGTTGTTACCCAACAAATGGTACATGTAATATGAAGGCAGCAGTCAGATTAGTGAGACCCAGGACAGGGAGGAAGATGCAGAGAGACCAAGCATCATCTAGAAATAGAACAAGCAGGAAGCATAGAGGAACTCAGACTACCAAGGCTACTGGATTTTCAACCAAAAAAAAAAAATCTTGCACAGGTCTGAAAGCAGTTCATGTAAGAACTGAATAATGTAGACCTAAAATTTTCCAGTTCTGTGTTGTAGAATCTAAAGCAACATTGGATTTTATTTCATATACCATTTAACTTTTCCTGGGTCCATCACAGACTGAACTTAACCAGCCTGAGGCAGCAAATCAATAACTTAAATATTCCAGGTTCTTTGTTGTGAAATATAAATTGAAATTCCTGTAGAAGAGGTGAGTCTGCATGCCTTCTCTTCCCTATGGTTCATCAGAAAATTGTTTAAAAACTTAAGCAAAATTTGAATTTTTGCTTCATTGACGGAAATTATGAAAGAAGATACACATTTCGTTGAGTGAAACCAGCATGCTCTGCCATAGCAATCTTGAATTCTGTATCCATTACTCACAGATATCATCTTGCTTTTGTGTTGTCCAGAGAACACCATGTCTGAAAACATGTGATGCTTAGGCAAAATGGGAATAGTAAACGACAGATTAAAATCAAAAGTCCATTTTGGTTTACTTGCCAGTCTGAAAGTGAGAAGTCTTTCTTTTCCCTTGCTTTTTAAGAGACGCTGACTTCCCTGATGGTAAATCAGAGCTTGGTACAGAAGGTATAATCCTCAGTGAAGTTCTTTTCAATGTCTGGGACACACTTCTTCCTAAAATTTAACTTGTTGAATTCTTCTCTGATTTCCATGGCAGATTTTCCCTTTGTTTCTGGAAGGAACAGGTAGATAGAAATCCCTGAGATGAAAAGCACTCCCATAAAGATAAGGAAACAGAATTGGCCAAGGCTCTCCTGGAACAAAGAAAAAAGGAAGAAAGAAAGATGACTATATTCTCTGACTTTTCAACATCTGCAGTGTCATTTTTGGATCTTTAGACTCAATAACTTAAAGATAAAGCCTTTATGTTTTGACCTTTGGCATATGCTCTTTGAGCTGATTTCAAATTCATCTCCAAATCAAATACACCACCTTTAATATAAGTGCCCTCCATAGTGTGTGCGCCAAAAAGTTTCAGGTTGACATGATATTGTAGTCTATTGCTTTTTCTTTGTCCCTTTTCCCACTTCCTTGACAGGGTCCAATATTGTTTGGAATAGGGAGCAGTTGGGAAATGTTCCAGTTTGTGTCACTTACCACAATAAATGGGAAAGTCATGCCAATCACAAAGAGTCCTGTCCAGTTGAGAGACCCACCAATTACAAAGGCAGGTGGTCTGGATGACTGATCAAAGATTTCAACCCTAACGGACGCTGTAGCACCAGCTGAAAGAAAGATGAGACATAAATAAGCACCACATGCTGTGCTGTTTTCAGTTGTTCTGGTTCCCTTCTCTTTCCTCTGTCTCTTCTCTCCACCACCCTGTGACAAAATACCCAACCAATTGTGTTGGTGAAAGTAGAGAACAACAGCTTCATTAATTTCAAGGCCAAGGTAAAAGTTTGGATAAGTTGTAGGCAGTGTATGCAGTGGAAAGCTAGGGCATCTGAGTTCTAATTTCTTCTCTGCTGAGTTGCTGTATGCCTGTGGACCAGTCACTGAGGCACCAGTGTAGCAAGCATTGTTGTAATCTCATCTAGGTCACAGGGCATACTGTACTTGGAAGTTAGGTAATCTTTAATACATTACTGAATTCAAGGTTTAAATCTCCCTGCCTTGGTTTTCAGGGAATGTCATCATAAGACAACTAGCAAATATGCAAGAACAGGACACACTGGTATTTGAGAGAGTATGGCATTTCTCCACATCTAGAAGAAGAAATGTCTGTGGTGTATCTCATGCTACCATATGACAGAAGTTGACATTTTAAATCATTCTTCAATTAACTCACTTGAAAAAATGCAAGTATTAATTAGCAATTGCTTTGGGGACTCTGAGGTCCTGGCATAAGAGATTCTGGTTGAAAGTCCCAGGTCTTTTGTTGTTGCAACTACAGAAGCCTGCATTTTGAATAACCCAATGTAGTGTATATAGTAGTATTAGGCTAGACCTATACTAGAGATAGGTAAGTTCTATAGAATTGAGATTTTAGTAATGTTTCATACTATGTTTTTAGCAGGGTTATGCGAAATTTTGCCTGGCATTTTGTTTCAAAGCTGTTTCAATGTGTTTTGAGCTCAAAACAGTGAAATTGACATGAAACAAAAGCCTTCAAAACAGCTTCAAAACGAAACAAGGGAACTCGAAACATTTCGAGTTCCAAAGCCAGGCTTACTGGCTTCGGCACCAGTCCCAGCCGGCAGCACTCGCCTCCTCTCATCTGGCAGGCAGATTGCAATCTCGCCTGCACCCCCGGGAGGGCTACGGGGGCTGTGCTGGTGTCCTCCTGGGGCTGTGGGCCCCTGATCTGCCTGCCAGATGACAGACCGGCACTGGGTGCAGCTCACACCCAGCACCAAGAAGATCAGTGCTGCCGCTGGTCCCAGGTGGCAGCACCTGGCTGCCTCCTGTCATTTGGCAGGCATATTGGGGGCCCGCACCCCTGGGAGGACTCCGGCACGGCCTCTGCAGCCCTCCCAGGCATCCCGGTGGGCCCCCTATCTGCCTGCTGGATGGACAGGAGGCTGGTTCTGCTACCTGAGGCCAGTGGCAGCCAGCGCGGTCCCTGGGGGTGTGAATCAGGGTGACCACCCTGGGCCTCATGCTTTGGGGGGCCCTGTGGAGCCAGGCAGAGTGGCCATGGGGACTTTGCACCACTGCCACTGCTGCTGGCTTCGTCTGGCCATTTGCTACCCTCCCATGGTACCGCCACGGATGGCGACAGTTTCTTCGCATCCAGGGCTCATAGAATTGGAGCAGGAACAGGTCTCCGCACAAATTGATTTGCCCTGGGCCTGATCCCATGCACCCTGGATGCAAAGAAGCCGCCGCCAAACTGATTTTCCTTGGGCCTCACACCCTCCTTGGGTCTGCTCTGGCAGCATCAATTGGGCTGCTGCCAGAGCCGACCAGAGGAGGGTGCGGGGCTCGGGGCAAATCAGTTTGTGTGGGGACCTGCCCCTGCCCCGATCCTCTGCGCCCTGAATGCAAAGAAACCACCGCCACCATTGGCAGCAGCAGCAGTGGGGGGGGAGGGGGGGAGGTAATGGGTGACCAGATGTGAAGCTGGCAGCGGCAGTACAGAGTCCCCACGGCCACTCCGTCTGGCTCTGCGGGGCCCCCCAAAGTGTGAGGCCCAGGGTGGTCACCCAGATTTCCACCCCCCCTAGGGACGGCCCTGGCTGCTGCTGGTCCCAGGTGGCAGCATCAGCCTCCAGGCAGATCGGGGTCTTGAAACTTGAAACGAAACACTGTTCCGTGGAAACAGAAGTCGAAGCGGAATGGTGCTGTTTTGCACAGCCCTAGTTTTTAGGTCCCAAGAGTATTTAAAATAACTTTGTGTTAGTAAACCATCCCTCACTGCCCTGCCAGGAGAAGGTATGTCAACTGGAAAGTCATTTAAAGCTAAAGGAAATTATATGGTATATATTAGGGAAAGAAGAACCTCTGTCTGGGACAGATGAAGAGTATGAGTGTGTGAGTGCATGCACACTCACTTTTATATAATACAGAGTTGTAAAACTTTCTTTATTCAGACTTTCTGTATTTATTTTTCTCTCTGCCTGCTGTTTGCTTTGTTTATCATCCTATTTTCTTTTCCAGTGGCTATTTTCCCCCTTCCTTCTGGCCTCTTTTTGGTCTCAGTTAAGCCCAGTAACAATTAAGTGTACATCAGTTTACTGAATTCAAGATTTTTCACATGAGTTCCAATTTAGGTGAAATGAGTTTGACTGTGACTGATATTATGCAGTGTGCAAGGCCAATACTTGCTTCAAACAGTGTACTAAGTGTGTCAGAACTGTGTTAAAGATAGCGGCCACAGGCTGGATCTGGCCTGCAGAGCCCTGTAATCTGGCCCCTGGTGCTGTCTGTGGGTCTCAAGTGGACCCATAGGCAGCAGGTGGGATGCACTGGATGGCCTCATGCACTGCACACTGCACCCACTCTGGCTGCCCTGGGACTGTGCCCCCATCCTGTATTCATCTACATGGTGCCTGCTCCAGCACATGTCCTGGAGCAGTCGGGGCAGGTGCTGCGTACAGCAGTCTTTGAGTGGGTGCCATGTGCAGTGCAGTACCAGACCAGCTGCCCTGGGGCACATGCCACACATGGTGCCCACCCTGGGACATGCACTGGATTTGGCATGCAGTGGATGTGCATGGGAACAGGCATTGCATTCGACAGGGTCCCAGAGCAATGGACAGTTGGGGGGGCACTGCTGCCACTTTTCCCAGCAGCAGAAGGCAGAAAGTGTCCACTGCCACTGCTTTTTCTCCACAGCAGCAGGGGAAAATGACTGCTGCCAAAGCTCCCCTGCCACTGAATGCCAGCAGAGTTATATGTCTGCAGGCTGGATCAAATGGATCTGTGGGTTGAATGCAGCCCTTGGGCTGGAGGTTGCCAGCCCCTGGTATAAGGTGTCTATTCTCCCCACCCCCCAGCCATGTTGATGTAGTTAGGTAGTGTGGTTTCTTTCTCTTGTATGAAGGAATTATTCACCTGGCCCAATTGCGAAGCAACTCACATATATGATAATCAAACCAAGGCTGCAATACGGCACCCAGAAGAACCAATCCTAAGGGAGAAAACACGTTTTAGGATGTAGAAGCACTTCCTATTTTCTGCCGAAGTCCTTTCAAGTAAAGTACAATGCACTTGACTGGTAAATGTAGGATTTTGTGATTGTGGGAGGCATGGGAAAGTGTTCATTAGATGAGTGCAGGACAGGAGAAAGAGGCTTGATAGCATAGAGCAACTGCAGACTTCAGAAACTTTAGGTTGGAAAGGGCCTGAGAGAGCATTTCCCTTTCACTCTGGCCTCCCCCTAACTTTTAGAAATATGAGGTATGCCAATTCTCTTCTTGCTTGTTTTTGTTGGATGGCATCTAAAATAACTCATGTAGAATGGGAACCATCTCAGGCCTTGCCTGAAGGGGTAAGGGTCTTGAGCACTGAGGATCTGGGCAGGGGAAAGACTGGCAACCCTTTCTTACACCACTTTTGACTAAAAGCATTCATGTGACCAAGCAAACAGGACAAGGGTTTAAAACAAGACTAGCTGGTGAAAATGGGACATATGGTCACCCTGTCTGAACCTCCTCCATGGAGCACCTTGCCATGTAGAGAAGAGTCAGTGTGCTCCAGTGCACAAGATGCTGTTGGTGGAAGGAAGGACAGAAGGGACAAGTGATTCTGTGATTGAGCAGGTCCAGCATGAATAAAACAATGCTGGGAGAGTGCTATTACCTTGCTGCCAGGTATAGATCCTCTTTCCAGATCTCTAGTATTATAAGAGCCCTGCCCCTGAAAAGATTTGGCAGTGGTACCAGAACTGCTGTTAGTATCATAGAAGTTAGCTGGCAGGCTCATTCCCCTTTTTGAGCAGCCCTATTCACTTTTCAATGTATCTAGCAGCAGAACTAATGTTAAGGTGCTCTTTTTCTTTGTTATCATGTGCTTTACTTTTATACCATGTTCAAAACTGCACCTGTTAAAAGGAAACAACTTTACAATGACCAATGGCCTGCACTTACAGATATTTGTATAAAAAAAAAAAGCCTGCTCCAAGGCTTAGCTTTTATTCATCTTAAGTGGGGCAAATGGAAAAGAAGGGAAGATTACAAGAAGCTCTGCCAAGAGAAGCCACAGTCACAGGATGCCTAGGTTAAGCAGTTACAGGATTGACTTCACATGAGGTTCAGCTCTGCCTGCACAGAGTGCAAGGCTGGTGGAGTCATTTGACAAATGTGAGAATCCATGTGATCTAAGTTATTTTGGGGATTCTAAATCTAGCTGGCCTGTTTCTATAGGTCATCCTGCCTTTGAGGAGAGCTTAAAAGTTGGATGGATACTAAACAAGGAACCACCACTGAAAAGAGTTTCTTTACCTGCAGTGAGATTGTCACTGTGAGGATTGCTGCTAAGAAAGCCATGATCCAGTAGCCACACCAAAGCAGTACTTTTCTGCCACACCGCTCAATGATGACGGTCTGAAGGACAGAAATTATATTAACATCACTGCAAGTGGAGCAAATTTAACCAGTTCTCAATGTGCTAATACTTACACAGAATATAGCAGAGATAAGTTCACAGAAACCAATTCCCAGTGACATGTAGGAGATAGTGTCTTGATCAAACCCAGCTGTGTGGAGCACATCAAGTGCATAAAAGTAGATCTAGAAAAAAAACAGCATAAATATACACATATCTGTGTGATACTGATCCTGAGTAACTGGGCAGACAGAAGAGACAAGTAGCTGCTATTCAACAATGACTATGCTGATTAGTCTGACTGCTCTTTAGCTTTATAATAAGGTACAGTTGTTCATCATTTTTGTAGTATTTGTGAGGTTTTATATTATTGGCAGATAAAACCTTGTAAAATGTTCTTAACAATAATTTAGCTAAAATTAATAATATCTTCATCTGTTGAAGTGTCATTAGTTCATCATATCTGATGAAGGGTATTTGTGCCTGAAAGCTTGCTAAGAAGAATTTTCCCAACTATTTGAGTTGGTTTAATAAAAGATACCAGATTTACCCAAAGAACCTTGTCTGCCATTAGTTCATCATAGACCTTTATCATTAAGTGCTTTTTTTTTAAACAGGCTTACAACCTTACGGCTTAAAAATTCAGCCTTTTCTGCAGGAATAGAATATGGTTTTCTGGGTTTTTTCCCCCCTGAAAAGCTGCAAAACTGAGCTGGGCTGCTCTTCCTCAGTCTTTCCAAAAGAGGATGGTTTGGTTTATATCAGCTTTCCTCTGCTGCCAGTACTGAGGGGCATGTGGATTTGTTGTATATTATAATATGAATGGAGCAGTGGTGCAGTGTTTTCAACTCTAAGTAGATTAGGATTCACTTTTTAAACCTATTATGTAATCATATTACATTAATTATATATCTAGCTCTCTGACTGTGTTTTTCATCAGTAGGTCAATAGTATTATCCTCACCACCATTTCATAGGTCAGGATACTGAGTCACAAAGACTTGCTGAGGGTGACCTAGTAGACTCATCCCAGAACTAAGCACAGAGTTCAGATCTCCTGAGTCCCCAGGCCAGGCTGCTGTCCACTTGGCCACATCACCCCTCTCCACTTGTTGAAGATTGTTTTCCTTCTGTTGAAGTGAGCTCAAACTCATGAAAGGTTATAAACTAATCTCTGATTTAGTTTAGTATGTAAAGTGCATCTCTACTCTGCCTTCTGCCTTACTTGTCATCCTTGATTATGCAGATGTTAGCTTGTCACTGAGTTACCTGTCTTTCCTTATTGGTTAGCAAGTCACAGCACACCTTGACTTATAGGGGAAATTAGCATAACTACTCATTGCTCTGCTAGTCTCTACTAGCTTTCATAAACAGCTGTGTATATGGGCACTGTAGACACAAATCCAAAAAAATCATGGTAGAAGATGTTTTTTCTTTCCAACAACCTATGTGGAATTCTCCAGTGCTTGGAACTATCTCCCTTTCTTTTCATGATATATTTGAGATCGTTCAAGAGAAACTGAAATCAGTATTTGGACTGCAGTGTTAAACTTGGCTGTATTTCGGCTTCTGCCTCTGCTATCACCACAATGTTTCAATGGCTGGAAGAATCATGCCAATAGAGGCAAAGCAGTTGCCTCAAGTTGAATCCAGGCAAATGCCAAAATGAAGGTGGCAGCAACTAAAAGAAGCATTAATATAAAGCCTATTGCAAGTTTTGATGACATAGGCATGGCTCAACTAAAGAAAAGTTCATTGCAGCCCCGTAGCAGTTACACAACTGGCTGTTATACAAACCCTGGAAGAAACAGACTCAAATACAAAAAGGTTAAGAGAGACCAAGAAGACAATTCTGAATTTGTAGCCCGTTGATTGTTTTGAGACTTGAAGGGTGGAAGATACGCAACTGCATTGATGCCAGAAAGCTGTATTGTAAATGAAAGGGAAATTAAGGTGTACAGCTGCCAACGAAAAGAAGCTTCTTTCAATAGTTCCAAGATGCTCATGACCTTTGTATTTTTCATTGCACTCTTCTCTTTCAGCATTTCATCAATCTCAACCTGATGATGCCCTTCACCCCAAAGCTGGTTCATGGCTGTGCAAGATAAGGAGAGCAAAAGCCATCATATTAGTCCATCTCTTTGTTAAGTTGATATAAGGAATGTTTTGAGTAAATGATTTGTGAGCCATGCACTACATGCATGCTTTGATTCCTCCATTGAATTGACTGACTCAGACATTATTTTTCAGAAGGTTTTGTACAACAGTGAAATTAATTAGTATCTGTAGAAAGTCAAAGGTGTGCCTAATACAGAATTTTCCAGGAAGGCAATTACTTTTGCTAATTTAGACTAGTATCAAGATTTGTAGCTGGTCAGTGTTTACAGAATCAGTTGAGAAATGGGCACTAGGGAACTTCATTCCTACTTAACTCTTAGGGGAATATTAATTTTACAGAATTGGCTAAATCAAAAGAAATAAAACCCAGGGGGAAAATATCTATATTACCTTTCATGCAGCCGTCCTCATCTCCTTTATGTATCAGGAAGTAGGGTGGGGACTCAGGAAAGAATGGCAGAGTGACCAGTTGAGCCAATGCTGGAATTCCACCCAAGGCCATCAGCATAGGCCACAAGGATTTACTTCCTAAAAGCTCTCTAGGAAGCATAAAAGTATACATATTATAGAATGGAAGTTCATCAGATGTTGGCTTTGGAGAGCCAAGTGAAAAATTGGAAAAGAAGGGGGTTAAAAAGAATATATGGAAATGAAGGCAAGTAAGGAAATAAGTGTATTTTACCTTTGTCCCATAACTTGCCCTATGGATTTTCCTAGTGCCCAAAAAACAGCGGCAGTAGAGTTTCCAAATCCACGTAGCTTCTTGGGGGAAATTTCCCCAATATATTGAGGATGTAGAAGCAAAGCAAAACCTTGAATTGGGGTGGAATCATGGAAAAGAAGAAACAAAAAAGTTGTAATAATAGGAATTAACTCTGCATATTAAAATTAGTTTGTACAAGAGTTTAGCTGATGCATGCATTGAATAGCTTCTCTGTATGTGGTGGAAAAAGTGATAAAGGCCTGAAACTATTAAATTAACTGAAATTAGGTTTGTGCATGAAGATGGGGCTCCCCCTATCCCCAAGAGAAGGGACTGGAAATCACCATAGGGCCTTGTAAACAGGTCCTGCCTAGAAAGGGCTTGAGTGCACCCTTTGTGGTGGACTAACCCTGCAGACCCTAGGGCAGGGGTTGTCAAATGGGGGTACTTGGGAAGGCCCCAGGGGATACACGATATGCTGCTTTGTGTTTGGCCACCGAAAGACCCGCCCCCCCACTCACTCCACATCCAGAAGGGGGTACCCACCAGGAGGGGTGCACTCCTCAGAAAAGGTTGAAAATCCCTATCCTAGGGTTTACTTCCTTTTGCTTGCTTGCGACATCTTGATGGAATCTGAATGTTGTAGGAGGTCGCTTGTAAATCCCTTGGGTGGGAAAAGTGAATGTGGTGCCATGGGACTCTAGCACAATTCCAAGATCAGATCATTCAGCCAGTCCTGCCTCTCTTCCCGTAGTTCTTTGGCTAACTCAGCCCCTGAGGGTTCCATGCCTCAGTGGCATATAGCACAGCCTATAGGCCTTAAACATGGCCTCCAGCTTCCCCCATAGCCACATCCATACCTCACAGATGTCACAGTCACAATTCCCTGGGGCCTTCTGGCCTAGCCAGTGAACTCAGCCTCTCAGGCCTTAATCTCTTGTTCAGGCTTCAGTCTATAAGGCCCCATTTCCCATTTGACCCCATTTTCTCTCCTCATCATTTCACAACCCATGGGTCATGACCCAAAAGGGGGCTGCAAGAATAAATGAAAAGGTCACGAACAAACTTTAAAAATGGATTCTCCTTTAAAGGATAAAAAACGTGGGAAATCATGGCTTCTCCCTTGTAGGCTGGCAGAGTTCCAGCCTGTAAAGGGTTGCTTGGGGCTCCCCATGCCCCACACACCCACCCCCTGCCCCAAACACTGTGGGCCTGCGGGTGGAGAACAGTGGGTCAGGAGTGAGGGACACTGGGTTAGGACTGGCCATCAGTGTTTACAAATGGGTCTTGGTACAAAAAAGTTTGAGAACCACTACTCTAGCCGAGACACTCAACCCTGGCCCACTGGCTCAGTATTCAGCTCCTCAGTCTCAGCCCCCATATGCTCCTGCCTCTTCTGGGAGTTCTAATTGAAGAGCATTGAAGTATCCTTCTGCATGGGATATAGCCCTCTTGGCCTCAGCACTTTGCCTTCCCGCCCAGTGGAGGGCTCAAAACAAAGGGGGTGCATCTACACGAGGTGCTTTATTGGGCATGTGCATTAGACTACTCTAATGCACAATAAAGCATCACTGTCTACACATGCATAGCAATTACTGTGCAGTATATTAATCTAATGCAGTATATTAATCTAATCTAATGATACAGGTGCTAGAAACTGGTGCATTAAACTAATGTGCTGAAGTGCATGTGTAGATGCTGGCTGGGAGCAAAAAGCTCCCAGTCAGCCTAGGCAGCAGGGGGCAGGGAGAGCTGTCCTGGTTCAGCAGGATGCTGCCTGCCAGCTATGTGCTGGGAAGACTGGCTGGGAAAACTGTCTTGTCTCCAGGCAGCTGTTTGCCAGCCAAGTGGAAATTGGGACAGGTCCTAATCTCCACTCAGCCAGAAGAGCTGTCCTGGCTGGTGGGCAGCTGCCTGCTAGTCCCATGGAGATAGGGACCTGTCCTGATTTCTGTTGGATGGGGAGAGCTGTCCCAGCTGCCAGGCAGCTGCTTCTTAGCCTTGTGGAGATGAGAACAGGAAGCTTTCAGCTCTTTCCTGCCCCACTGATATCAGGACCACCACCCATATTTTCTGCCAGCCCAGGCCTGGCATCTTGGGGAGCCTGGAGTCCCTCCTGGCTGCTGTAGGGGGCAGAGCAGGGCAGGAGCAGCCCTAGACTGAATTGCTCCTGTCAGGAGCAAATTTGCTTCTGATGGGTGCATGTTCAGATGAGTGCAGGGCTGCAGTTTAATGCAGCTGAACTTTCTGTGCAGAAAATTCAGACATAATAATTGCACAAGTAGACACACCCAGAGTGCCCTGGGCACCTTACTCCTTTTATTCCCCCTTACAGCTATGATCCAAACCTCCAGTCATGAACATAAACACCAACAAACTGCTGTCAACTAAAATGCTTCCAATCCCCCCACCTGGGTCCACAAAGGGCATGCTCAAAACACCAGCAAGCTGCTACCCACTAACATGCTTAAACCACCCACACAGGCTTTGTCCCAATCTGCTGGCCCCCTCCCATGCTTTAGGTTGCTTTTCTCAGTCTACAGCTTCTTCTCCCTCACAGCCTACTGGCAGGAACTCCTGTCTTCCCAGAGATCTGGACCCTTTTGCTTGTTCTGACCCAGCAACCAGAGTTTATACTGCCTGAGTTCAGCCCCTTCCCATCAGGGCCTCTCTGATGAGCAATAGGTGTAACTCATTACATCAGCCCAACAGGCAACCTGCTCTTCTTTGTGGACACCGGTCTATCTGAACTACCTTTGCTTCCCACCTACCTGCTCAGAGCTCTGGCTTACTGTCATGCAGCTAGCTCCCAAGTAATTACCTGCAGCTAAGGAGTCACCTTATCTAGCTTCCCTCTGGGTGCTTATTCTCCTGCAACTAGCTCTTGTTCCAGTGCCTGCATCTGACAGCAGGTCTTGCCCTGCTGCCCCTTTCCCTTAAAATAGCAGGAGCCCTTGCTCTCTGGTACAGGCCTCCCAGTGTATGGGCAGGTAGACTTAAGAAAATTATTTTGCCATTCAGCACTGTGCAGTCTCACAAAAGAACATTACAAAATGTATTGTTTGCAGAAGCAGATTCCTTTCCAGATTTAGAAAGGGGTCCTCTTACTGAATGGGACATGAGCTACCTGTTGTAGCTCATGTAATAAATCCCATACATACTGACATTAGCCTGAGATATTTTGAGATCTGGGCCTTCTGCCAGAAATGAGTATGACCAATTAGCCCAGCTCATCATTCCAATCCTAAGGGTTTTATAAGTTAAAGATGGCTAAATAAAGTATCCTAAAGAATTTACAGAGACAAAATAAAAAGGCATGTTCTTATGAATGAAAGGCACATTAGATCATGGATTATAGCATTTTACTTTCTTAGCAAAAGGAGATCTTATTTGAAGAGACAAAGTTTTGGGATTGAAGTGAAAATACCTGTTACTTTGTGTGAAAAGTCTTACCTGCACTCATGCCACATAGCAAGCGTCCTATAAGAATCATCTCAAAAGACCTGGCCATCCTGCTGAAGCCCAGGAAAAGTGCAGACACTAACATGAGCAAATTGTTGCCCATTAGACATTTCTTTCTGGAACAGGGTACAACAGAATTGTATGAACAGGTTAGAATGTTTTTAATGCTATGGTTTCTTTGTGAAATTCTATGTTCAGGGCACCCTGGTTGAGAATCGGTGATATAGCCCTTCTCCATGATGCTGAGTTCTTAGAGGCATGTTCAGAAAGTCCATTTTGTCATTGACTAGGAGGCTGCCTACCATCCTTGCTGATGGTAACATGGGCTCAATAACATGTGCCTTTGTGAGTTCCCACCTGGTGGCCACATCTACATGAGATGCTAACTGCATAGTAGCTCGTTACTACTGCACAGCAGCATCACATAGCAGGAAGCATGATTCAACACTACTGCATGGTAGCATTACATAGCAGGAAGCATGACACAATGCTACTGCGCAGTAATAACGAGCTACTGCACAGTCAGTGGCACCTAAAAGCCATTTGGTGATGCTGTTGCACAGTAACTGGTTACTGCACAGTCATTTAGTACTTTTTAATATAAGTACTACATGACTGTGCAGTAATGACTGTGCAGTCAGTGTCTCATGTAGATGCAGCAAGTCTGTAGCAATAGAATTCATAAGGATTGAGGGGCTCAGCCAGGACAGCTGTAGCCGAGGCAGAATGCTGTTGTTCGCTTCATTAGCACTTCACTCCAGTAGTCCTCGTTATCCAGCTGCTTCCTGTAGAATGTCATGTCAAGTTTAATGTTTCAGTCTTTATTTTTATGGGACTCGATATTATGGGACTTGGATACATAAGGCTGGCTTGCACTTAAGGGCTTCAATCACTATTTCATTACTTTATAACTTTTTGTTTAGAAAATAATTTTTTCAGATACATACTTGCCATATTTTACACTCAGGTATCCACTGCTCATAGATGCCAAGATTCCCCCAATACCAAAGATGGATACGATGAATGACCAGAGCAACAAGAGGTTCTCAGACTGAATGGGAGAATCATATCGCTCCAGCCAAGTTTCATTGATAAAACTCTTAACATGCTAGGAAAGAAAGGGAGATTTCCGTTAACAGTAATAGGGATTGTTATCAATAGCAATAATTGTTTTTTCATTACATATAAAGCTAGTACTGTTGTTTTACAGCCATAAGTTCTTATAAAAGCAGTGCAGATCAACCCTGAACCTTTCTTAAACAGTCCCTCAGGAGTGTGCTAGATTAGGTGGTGCTTTTTCAAAGATACCACCAAACTTATTTTAATTTGTAATTTAGAGGTAAATTCCATTGAGTAGCACTGAGGTTACAGAGAAAGATGCTGAATTTAAAGATAATATATTGGAGGGTTTTTTTTCTTTTTTAGTTCAGTGGTCACCAACCAGTGGATCTTGATCCACTGGTAGATCTCGGAGCCTCTTGCAGTAGATCTTGGAGTTGATCCAAGGCTGGGGTGGGGGGCTGAGTGCCCTCATGCGCCCCAACCCCGCAGGTCAGTCCATGGGGGGAGGGAAGGGGAAGGGGCAGGGGCTAGATCGAGGCCCCTATGGTGAGGGACAGTGCCACAGAGGCAGGAGCAGGGGTAAGCTGAGTGGGGTCCCAGCTTTAGTTCATTTGGATTTTTTTGTTTTTTATATTGCAAAATTCAGTTCTGTCTGAAAAATTCACATATGTCTTTTCTTAGCATACATGGCATGGCAGGAGGTGTGATTGTCATGGCTGGGGATCAGATCACATCACAACATTAAATGAATGTATGCCAAGGGCCTCAGAGGGGAGCCTGACTTAAGGTACCTGTCTCTTCTCCCCCTTGGACAGCTGATGAAGCTCCCAAAGACAAAAGGGTAAAGAGACAATGCAGAAAAAATAATGCTGCCTGGACCTGTATTAATAGTTGTGACAGAGGAGAGCTGATGAGTGTCCCATCTAGGCCACTTTAAGCATACTCTGTCTTTGTCTTCTCCTCTAGCATGGACTCCAGGCACTGTGGAACAAAGCAGGCATGAACTGGTTCCTTGATTTATATTAACAACTGTTTAACTCCAGTGACTAATGAGCATTTGAGAAAAAGAAAATAGGCCAAAAGTTGTATGTAATATTCTATGTTAAAGGTTCCATACTACTACCCACTCACAGTGACTGCTCATAGTATCCATGTTCTCAAAGCTGCACATGGTGTCAGCAAAACTAGAGAAGACCAAGCTTGACATTTCTAACATTTCCAGTATAAAGAAACCAAACAGAAGGTTAATCCTCTCCCATACCAAAACTAACAATTTTCTTCATACATCATAAAAAGGTAAAGTTAAGTACAATCCCAGCTTTTGAAAAATCTGTTGCATATCAACTTTATGGCTTCTGGAGTAAGAGGTAAGGAAATGTACAGCCTTACTGTACTGACCAGCCACCTGCATCATGTCTCCCCAGAGAAGCTGCCTGAAATATAAAACAACTTTCTCTCCTTTGCCCCACTGTATTATCTTCCATGTTTTGACAAACTTATAGGATTGAGTAGAAATGGGATGTGCTGAGGATAATTGCAATTATAAACAAATCCAGCCTTTTAAAAGGTGGGCGGACTTGTGCTCCGGGGGTGACCAAACCCCAACCTCCCACCCCAGGATGGGCAGACCAAGCTGTGTAAGTGGCAAATGGGGACTTGTTTAATCAGGATGTGATATACATCTCTGCTGTTCATGCTGCTCTTGGTACCCCCTCCCTTCTCTGTGCTTACGGCACCTCCTCTTCCCCTTTCCCCTTCTACTTATGCCTCTGGGTGCAGGAAGGGATCAGGGAGATTTGCCTGCCATTCCTACTGTCTCATCTGCTTCTGCTCCACCCCAGCCAGAACTGTGGGGAGTGACTGCATGGGGTGCTGGGCTTGGCTGGGACAGGAGCCAGGGCAATGGCAGGTGGTTTCCTCCCGCTGCACCTGCTTTCAGGTTCATTGGAAACACCTGGGGGGAGCAAGCAGCAGAGACAGGGAACCTGCTTGCTGCCACTGCTGCTGGTGTCCCCCTTTCTCACTGAGCAGCCCAGCTGGAGCAGGGGAGAAGCTGGGGACAGTGGTGAGCAGGGGGTGGAAATGGGAGAGGATGTGCGCCTCAGCATGAAGGGGAAGGGAGGGGATTTCTTTCCTCAGGGACTTAAAGGTCTTGGCTGCTGCTCCTGCAGCATGTTGGGTAAGTGGGGCTTGATTGCGCCACTGCACCTCCTCTGGTTTTTCCCCGGACTGCAATGGAAACATTGTCGTAGTGTGCGTCTACATGAGACTCTATGTCACCATAGTGACGAGTTATGGCAATGTAGCTTATCACTACAGCCACGTAGTATTCGCAGGCATGAACCATGATGCCGACGCTACTGTGCAGTAGCAACGAGCTACTGTGTAGTAGGGCTGTGCGAAGCTTCAGGTGCTGATTTGATTCGGAGGAGATTCGGCCTGATTCAGCGGGTGAATTTCTGAATCTGAATCGAATCAGGAGACCAATTAAAAGGTCTGAATCAATTCAAAGCTCTCCAAATTGATTTGGAAAAGATTTGGAGAGCTTTAGTGATTTGGGCAGTCCCCGCTCACCATAGCAGGGAGCTAGGCCTGGACTCCAAGCTGGTAAGTAGGGGGCGGAGGAGAAGCTGGAGGAGGGGGGAGGGGACCATGGGGAGACCCCTGCCAGGCCCCATCTCCTGCTTGCTCCACTCCCCCGAGTGCCTCTGACCCCCTGCCCACTTCCCCAGCCCCCCATGGCTGCTCCACCTGCCCCAGCTCCCAGCCCCTTAAAACAAAACCTGGATTCACCGTGTGTTGCTGGGCGGAGGGGTGATCCCTGCTGCCCCCCACAGCCCCACACCATGTAGGGGGTTCTGCCATGAGCCCCCTGATCCCCACCCGCTGTCCCAGCCCCCCCATGGCTGCCCTGCCTGCCCCAGCTC